AACAACTATTCATTTGTAAGCATCAATTCAGAACTGGGGTTAAATTTAAGAGCTCGTTAAGCTTTTGTCATTCTAGAAGCATGATAAAAAGTACAATTGGAGATGAATTTTTCAACTTCCTTCTAAATTTTAGTTAAAAGCACATATAGGGAGCCCATTAAAGATGTTCTAAATATTCAGAGAAATGCTAAGGAGACTCTCATAAAAATAAAACTCTCCATGAATTTTCTACAACCTCATGTTTTTTGTTCAATATTATATAAAGTAATGATATAGAGATTAAATTTGCAAACTAAATGATATGTTATCAATAGGAATAAGCACGTTTATCAATGTTTAAGTAATAAACCACTTATCAACTTTCATTTCCTTTAGTTTTCAAAATTTTATTTTCAAATTTAATCTCCTTAATATTATCCTTTTTTATAATGTTGATATAAAAATTAATATAAAATTGTAAGATAACATATAGTTTATAAAAAGCTTTAATTTAAGAGTCCCACTTTGATGTAAAATTGACGTAAACCTGTATTGCAGCTCCCCATTTTGTCGAACAACGTTACACGGCTCCCCTTGAAAGCAAAGTTTCAAGGGTATTAATTAACACCGACAAGGAAACTAATTATATAAAACGCATCGTTTTCTGGGGCCACGGTCTGCTGTCTTCTGATTCTGATTGCATTTAGTTTTGTGTCTGAATTAACATTGACAACACAAAACGCATTGTTTATTTGGGGCCAAGGCCTGCCGTCTTCTGATTGCATTTATTTTTGTCCCTTTAGGAATTTTTTGACAATTGACCCTCCAGTCTTTCTAAAATTAACACTGTTAACTATTATATATTTACTAATTATAAAAATTTAAGAAAAATAAAAACAACACAATCAAATAAACACCGGACAACAACCTACGACAACCACCCCAGTCATCGCCAAAGCTTATCCTCACCCCCGGCAAAGTTCCTTTTGCTTTTTCTCTCTCTCCTCGATTTCTATTGTATATCAGAAAGTCAGAAAGCCAGCCGTCAGGTTTGAATTTTGTATTGTAATGTTGTGGCGTGGCTTTATTAGCATCTTGCATTTCTTTTGAAAAAGAACCCCACTACGGCCCGCCCCTTTGGAATAGGATCCTCTTCGGATTCTTTTTGTAGGAATCTCAAAGTTCAATCAATTATATCTATTTATCGTATATCATGTAATTAAAAATTATTTAAAATTTAAAATTGAATATAAATAATACCTAACAAAAATTGACAGTACAATATATACGATTAACACAAATATAATTGATTAATTGTCCAAATTTCTACAAAGATGATCCGGAAAATATCTTTGTCCCTCCCGCCGCTTTTCCCCCATAAGCCTTTTTTAAGGTGGTTATGATATGATTGTTTTTGTTGGTAACTTAAATGGTGAGGAAGATTTATTCTTCAAAAAGTTTCCTGGCCGTTCATAAAATTTCATATTTTTATATTATACTTAATTCATAAAATTTATTTTTTGAAAAATTATTAATGAAATATGAGATATTTTGTCATCATTAATAAAATATGAGATATTTGTTATTGAATTCTAAAATATATTATGAAAATTGATGAAAAAATATATATTTTTTATCTATTTATTATAATTTATTATTGACCACATTTTTTTTTTAAATTTATTTGCAACAAAGATGAGTGATTTACAATATTAATGGTTCGACACAAATACAATTTCTGTAAACGCTCATGAAGCATTTTAAGGTAGAATTTCTCCTCATTTTTTGAGTGTCCAATAATTATTTTACATATACTGTTGTTGTTTCTTAATCTTTCTTCGAAGATCATCTTTACAAAAAAATTAAAAAAAATCATTTGACTTTGATTTTTTTTCAATCCAAATATATGGAACATAACGTAAGTGTAGATAACATTAAGTAACATATTATGATGAATTGCCTATTTATTTAATACACATTTTTCAATTTGAATGATTATTTTTATAAATATAATTTTTAAATAATTATTAAAATTTTAAAGTGTTTAAATTTATAACATGAAAATACCTTATTCGTGAAGGATAGAGGCACGCATGGTACTGTCAAGAGCAGTGACAATTCTTTTCTGTTACGGGCACCATGATATTCTCCATGTCTTTAGTTAGTTGTTGTGTAGCTAAAATTGTCCATGTTTGTATTGATATTTTGGTCCTGCTTTCCCTTGACAAGGATAAAAAGGTTGTCTAAAAATTTCTGTTTACAACTCCTCCACGTCAAATAAGCAATCGAGTATTTTTAAACAAAAATGAAAAGGATCACCATCGAATATTTCCAGTTTCATCAATAATTCATCACTCACGAAATGCAAGTGGTTAAATTACTCACAGAAATTCGACCCACACGGTTCAATTGACATTGACACAAACTGATCATGATCTCTATGTCTATGATGATGAAGATTAGGGATGGGCAATGGTTGTGCGGATGGGTAACCGCGGTTAATTTACCCATAACTGTTTATACTTATACCCGCATAACCGTTTATCCGTTGGGTAATTGCCTAAACGGTTATACCCATACCCATAACTGTTTATAAACGGTTAACCATACTCATAACTGCATACCCATTTAACTGTAACCGTTTAATACCCGTTTACCCATTTATCATTTTTAACCCGTTTATCTTTTTTTTTTATCATTACCCTTTTTTCAACCGTCTACATGTTTTTTAACAACTTGAAAATTAAAAAAAAATTGTCATAATTTTTTTTTTGACAATTAAACACCGTTATAGGTACATTCATCATATATTTTTATATTTTAATTTTTTAAGTCCTTATACCATTCCAATAATTGAAATAATAGTTTACGGACGATATTTTTAACTGTTACCAATGAAGGTAAATATAATATTTGCTAAGTATTATTGGGTTACAAAAATTGTTTAGAAGACATTTTTGTCAAAGCATTTCTGTCAATTTCACGGTTACCCGCAAGAAATTTAAATTAATTTGGCCAATTCCTTGATGATGAGAATCATCATTCCTGTAGTAGTGGTATTGACAGAATGATCGATGAATTCCTTGCTAATTTATTGGGTGCTAAGAATTATTGGATCGAGAACATGCTTTGTGTTAGTTTTACATATATAAAATAAATGGGTAAACGGTTACCCGTTTATAACCGTGATTAATACCCATAACCGCCCATTTAAATTTCGTGGGTAAACGGTTATACCCATAACCATTTATTTATCTAAACGGTTATCCATAACCATAACCGTTTAATTTAAATAGGCGGGTAACCGCGGTTATCCATAACTAATGGGTATTTGCTCATCCCTAATGAAGACGATAATACATCGTAAATGGTTTCGTTTCAGTTATGGTGTGGAGGGGAGAACTATAGCTCCCTTGGCCTTTTCTTGGACATCATGTGGCCCTGTCAATGGTGCATATTCATTTGCCTCTGCCTCTCTATCTCTTATGAATATACAAACTCTTTTTAATGTAGAACAAATGACATAATGGATCAAGGATTGATAAAACGTCAGAGATAAAAGGATGCAATGGGAATTTATCTTTTTAGCGTCCAAGTTCGGGCTCGTGATACATTTTTGGAAAGAAAATTTTATCTTTAAATTTAATTTCCTTAACGTAACCCTTTTTTATAATGTTGATATAAAAATTAATATAAAATTATAAGATAACAGATGGTTTATAAAAAGCTTTACTTTAAGAGTCCCACTGATGTAAAATTGACGTAAACCTGTATTGCAGCTCCCCATTTTGTCGAACAACGTTACACAGCTCCCCTTGAAAGCAAAGTTTCAACGGTATTAATTAACACCGACAAGGAAACTAATTATATAAAACGCATCGTTTCTGGGGCCAAGGTCTGCTTCCGTCTGATTGCATTTGGTTTTGTGTCTCTGTAAGAATTAACATTGACAACACAAACGCGTTGTTTTTTGGGCCAAGGTCTACTGTCTTCTGATTGCATTTATTTTGTCTCTTTAGGAATTTTTTGACATTTGACCGTGGTTCTAAAATTAACACTGTTAACTATTATATATTTACTAATTATAAAAATTAAAGAAAAATAAAAACAACACAGTCAAATAAACACCGGACAACAATCTACTACAACCACCCCAGTCACCGCCGAAGCTCATCCTCACCGCCGGCTAAGTTCCTTTCCTTTTTCTCTCTTTCCTCGATTTCTTTCTCTCTTGAATTCTCGCACTAGATTGTGGAGTTGGAAATTTGAGAATGGAAGATATAGTGAAGAATTCGATAGAGAAAGATCTCGAGGAGAGAGATAGAGAAGGAACTTTGCGGTCGGCGAGGATGAGCTTCAGCAGTGACTGAAGTGGTTGGAATCTTTCCTAAGCGGCAACAACGCAAATACGCCCATATCTTGTTGTTTCATTTTGTGAAACAGTATCAGTGAAATGTTTTGCTGAAACACCCAATAAGAGGAACAAAATAACTATGATTGCAGAGCCGTGCTGGAAAGAGGACTTGTGGAGGACATTGAGAATGGTGTTGTAAGCCTTAATTGGTTTGGAGGATGCATGTGAATTTGAACCGTTCCTAAGCGACAACGAGGAATGCAAATACGACTTCGCCGACGAACTTTGTTTTCATCTAATTAAAAGTAAATATGGGCAATGATTTGTTCATATTCAGACCTTGATTTTCATCTTATTATTCCTTTGTGTCTCTTCTCGACAGTTTTTGGTTGTTGCGATTCAGCCTTACACATTTTTGGCTCATGAGTTTTTTTATCCAAGTCTGCGATTCAGTTTTCTTTGCTTTTTGTTGTTGGGTAGTTGCCACTTTGATACTACGTTATAGTGATATTTAGTAGGTGAGAGGTCTTATGATCGATTTTTACTAAAGATGAATTTGAACAATATTATTACTAGCCCAGTATGATGCTAACCCCACCCTCCCTAAATAATATCGTTTGATGGCCACTTTATTGTATAAATACATAGCCGATCATGCAAAATTGATGAAAGTTATATCAAGATGGAAAATTGGGAAGAAGGACTGGAGCCAGTGAGCCCTACTGGCCACTTTTTCAACAACTCTGTTTTATCAATATCAATTCTTGCTGTTTTGGAATATGAGATTCCAATTGATGACTCACAATTTCTGTCATTGCTCGAGAACGTGTTCCTTCCTATCAACCCACGCTTCTCCTCTATCATGGTACGCTCTCTCTCTCTCTCTCTCATACTCTTTGTTTCCTTCCTTTTACTTATTAAACAACTTTTCAAACGCAAATTTTGTTTGAAAAGTTTACTTGAAGGTTGGAGATTTATGTTAATTCTCGCAATAAACTATCAAAGTGAGTCGAACTGAAGATTTATTATTTATAAGTAAAGGGTCCAACTACAATTTGTTGTTTTTTTTTTATCGGTTTCAATATTTTCCACAGGTGAGCATAGTTAGTTTATAGGGCAAACTACATTTCAAACTCTTTAGGTTTGGAGTGAATTTTAAACAAGGTCATGAAGGGATTTTTTTTAACAATAATTCATACTAAACAATACAATTAGATCGTGGTATTAAGTAATTGCCCTATAATATATTAAAATTGGATCACTAGATGCCTTTAGTCGGTTTGATTGTTTGATCTTGTTCGATATTAAGAGAGACGAGTCATTAATCCACTCCTAACCACACTGATTTTGTCTCAACTTAACCACTGATTGGCAGGTCTTAAGTTTTATTACAAAAGGTCTCGGTAATATTAGGAGTGGAATCATACACTTATATGTTGTATTTTATTTCCCATTGAATGATATCCCTAAGCTTGATAAAGTTTTAGATCTAAGCATTGTACTAGATCATTATGGTAATATTGCATCATTATAGGACGTGGGCTAAATGTTTTTGAGCACGTTTGAAGTTTCGTTTGGAGTACTCTTTACATGATGTACTCTTTTTCATGAGCAGTAATTATTTAATTTGGAAACAGATTGAAAAAGATGGAAAGAAACAATGGAAAAGGGTTGAGGTGAAGCTTGAAGACCATGTTAAAACTCCAATCTTCCCTTCCAACTTGTCGAATGAATCATATGACGAGTATTTTGACGACTATTTGTCAAACGTAGCAACAAAAAGATTTCCACAAGATAAACCACTGTGGGAAATTCATGTTATAAAGTACCCAACTAGCAATGCAGCTGGTAATGTAGTATTTAAGTTGCACCATGCGTTAGGTGATGGCTACTCACTCATGGGCGCTCTTCTCTCTTGTCTACAAAGGGCTGACAATCCTTCTCTTCCCCTAACTTTTCCTTCACGGAAGCCATCGAAACCGAAGAATGAAAATGTTATGACCAAAACTTTCTCATCCTTGTTGAACACCATATCCGATATTTGGTGGGGCATTTCAAAGAGCATCACTGGGGAAGATGATCGATCACCAATAAAATCCTCAAACAATGAACTTGAGTTCACTCCAATTACAGTATCAACTATGACGATCTCTCTTGATCACATCAAATTAATTAAGAGCAGGCTTGAAGTGGTAAGTCTCAGGTTTTCTCTGTAATATTTTGGTAAAAAATAGAATGAAATACACACACAAAACGCAAATCACCAAACACCATATTTTCAAATTCGTAAAACATTGTAACACAGTTAACTTATTTACTATCACAGACGATAAATGACGTTCTTACTGGGATGGTCTTTCTTGGCTCCCGGCTATATATGCAAGAGATGAACCAAACCTCAAGGGAAGTGCATAGCACATCATTGGTTTTACTAAATACAAGGATCATGGCGAATTATACGTCGATTGAAGAAATGGTCAAACCCGATAGCAAGAGTCCATGGGGAAACCATTTTACATTTTTGCATGTTCCCATTCCCAAGTTGACTGAATTCTCAAATGTGCTTGACTTCGTCTGGAAGACACATAAAATAATCAAGCAGAAAAGAAATTCTTCAGCTATTTATTTCACTAGTGGGCTATTGAGGATGCTGAACAAGTTTGGAGGCCACGAGGTTAGTAAATAATGACTCATTTGGTATACATAATTGGATTGAAATGGAGAATTTTTAAATTTTAATCTATTGAAGGTGGATGTTAATGATTTTCATTTGGAATGAATCAGAACAGGATTAACTATGAAGAAAATTCATCCCTTAACACACTTTTAATTTAATGAGTAATCTATCTTCAATTCCCTCAATCAGAACAGGATTAGAATGAACAAATTTTCTTTATGAGTAATCTATCTTCAATTCCCTCAATTAGAATGAACAAAATTCATCTCTTAACGTACTTTTAATTTGATATTCGTTCCATCTAATCATGTGCACCAAACCAGCATACGAAAATGCATGTGATGTTTCATATATACAACATTTATCTAAAAATTATAAGGCTACTGGTGGTGCAGGCAGCATCAAGATACGTCCGTACCACATTAAAGAACTCGAGCGTGGTGATCACAAGTATGATTGGCCCGGTGGAAAAAATGTCCTTGGCAAACCAACCAATCAAAGGGTTGTACTTTTTGGTAGTTGGGACACCTGAGGTAAACCAGTTATTACTATGTGAGTAATGTTAGGGAGACTAAATTTTTTGACAAAATTTTAAAAACTAATGGACATGAAAGTTGATAATTGGTTTATTACTTAAACGTTGATAAACATGATGTGGTAAAAAAATGGTCACCGTGGTCATAAGGTATTCGGATGATAGCTCCTGTGGTAAAAAAATTCGGATTTAAACCCTTGTGGTCTAAGTCTGTTAGGATTTAAACCCCTGTGGTCTAAGTCTGTTAGGATTTATGCCCTTCTGTTAAATAATGTTGACGTGGCTGTCATATATATGACACGTGGCAAAAAAAATAATTTTTTTTTAATTTTAAAAAACCTGAATTTTTACAAACAAAAAAAACCCAGAACCTCCCTCCGCCCTTCGCCCGTTCCCCCCTGCCGGAGCCCTCTCCCCGCGCGACCCTCCTCCCTCTCCTTCTTCCTTCTTCTTCTTCTTCCCGCCGGTCTCCCCGCGCGACTCCTCCCTCTCCCTCTTCCTTCTTCTTCTTCCCGCCGGAGCCCTCTCCCCGCGCGACCCTCCTCCCTCTCCCTTTTCCTTCTTCTTCTTCTTCTTCTTCTTCTTGCAGATATGGGTTTTTTTCTTTTTTGTAAAAATTCAGGTTTTTTATAAAAAAAAATTAAAAATTATTATTTTTGCCATGTGGCAGACATTTGGCAGCCACGTGGCATATATGTGGCAGCCACATCAGCATTATTTAACAGAAGGGCATAAATCCTAACAGATTTAGACCACAGGGGTTTAAATCCGAATTTTTTTACCTTAGGGGCTATCATCCGAATACCTTATGACGACGGGGACCATTTATCCGATTAGGCCTATTCTTTTTGGTGACACATCATTTAGTTTGTAAATTTAGTCTCCAAATTTAATCTCTCTAGCATTACCCTTACTATCATGCACACACGTACGGTCTCAAAAGTTTTGGAAACAATAATATTCATCGTCCGTTTCTGTAATCAGATACATAATTATTAAGGTTTGGTTGATTAACAAGGGCTGTGTGGTGTTTCTGTGATTGTCTTGTTCGTTTTAGGCTCTTCTAGTAGCATTTCAGAAAATGATATTCGAAGAACTGTTTTGCAAAATGAAAACAACAAATAAAACTTTGCATTTTTTTATGATGAGTTTGCATCTTCATTGAGTAAATGAATTTATTGATTTTTATCTATATATATGTGAGGTATGTTTTCGTAATGATAGTAGAGATATATTATACATACATGTGTGTGTGTGTGTATATATATATATAGGTAACACAATTTACATGGACCTGCAGGAACTTGACATATCAATCGTAAGTTATATGGGAAAGGTGAAGCTTGCCTTCACAGTGAAAAAAGGCATCATAGATCCACAAAAGTTGAAGTTGTGTATGGAAAACGCCCTCAATATGATATCCAACGCCGCAGACAAAAATTCTATGCAAAATAGGGCTGAAGAACAGTCACACATTTGAAACTCTACCAAAACCGTAGATCTAAAAAATTCATCGTCGGCCGGACTCTTGCTCTAGCTTAAGGCTGGTGGCAGCCTTCTCCTCCTTCCCCTCACCTCCTCTTTCTTGTTCTTATGGCTCGCTCAAATTTGTTTCGTTTTAGTATTTCGTCAATAAGTGCCTCCATAGTGAGGTTACTTGTGAGTCTCTCCTAGTGAGTATCTTAGTTTTAAGATGATGTGTTCTCGGCCCCTCTTGGGTCTACTACGCATTTTTGGTAGCTTCGCTAATGGTGTTGAGCATAAAATTCAAGCTAGTATGGACACCAGTTGGTTTGTTGTCAATTCCTTTTCAGAGTTGACGTTGCTTGTTGTCAAAGAGTGTGCTCGTTATATTGCAGTTTGGGCAAAACCACACAAACACACTGCTGTCATATATTAATCAAATACCGAACTAAATGCACGAGTATATTTTGTCTGTAATATGCTATTGTCAGTAAAATAAAAAAGACATGCCGCAAAATCGCATGCTATTTCAAAACTTGACAAGTTTTAGACCAGGTATTGTACAACATCCAAGTACTAGGGACGTTTGAAGTTTCTTTTGAAGTACTCTTCACATTATTCATTCCATGAACAATTCAATAATTATTTAATTTGGAAATAGATTGAAAATAATGGAAAGAAACTGTGGAAATTAAAAGGTTGAAGTGAAGCTGGAAGACCATGTTATAACTCCAATCTTTCCTTACTACTCACTTTGTCGATAAAATTAGTTTGTGGGTAAAAGTCAAAAATCGTCGGCAAAGAGCCATTTCCAACAAATAATTTTGTCAGCCATTTTGTCGCAAAAAGCATGTCGCGCAAGATCTTTCTGGACGAATCTTGATAATTCGTCGGCAGATTTTTAGGACGACAAATCTCAGCCGTCAAACTAACACGTCACCAAAAAAATGTTGCGGCAAAATATTTTGTCGGCACAAGTTGTTTTTTCACGACGAAGTTATTTGTCGGCTTAATGATCTTGTTGCGACGAAACATTTGTCAACTGAGTAATCTTGTGGCAACAAAATGGTTTTTCAGCTGCGAAGTCCTATGCCAACAAATTGGTTTGTCAGCTCAAATTACTTGTGTAGGCAAAATAGTTGATCCGTTGAATCTTTTGTGAACAAAAACATTTGTCCGCTTATTATTTTTGTGCCGACAAACGACGTGTCAAGTCTAATATTTTCTGATTTTTATTCGCATTTTGTTTTTCTAATAATATGCTTAACCATCACAAACAAGCAAGCTTTTGACATGAAAGCTTAAGAGCTTGAGAAGGGGTGTGAACGAAGAATTAATGTAGGAACAACACAAAAATTCATGTAATATAAACTAACGTAAGGTTCACAATTCGGTTCAGTTAAAAAATACAAAAATATCTAGGTTTTCATTTTGACATTACTATAATATAGATAAAATATCCTCAAGCATCATCATTCTCATTATAACTAGAACAAAAATATGTTTGCGCGACGGAAACTTGCGCGACGTAGCAAATTTCGTCGCGCAAACATACTTTGCGCGACGCTACAAAGAAACCGTCGCGCAAACATACTTTGCGCAACGACACTTTGAGCGACGCCAGGCTTCGTCGCGCAAAGTTTTGGCGCCAAATCAAGATAATTTACCACTTTTTTCCTAATTTTGCGCGACGCTGGTGCACATACGTCACGCAAAGATGTTTTGCGCGACGTAGGCATCCCTGCGTCGCGCAAAACAGCTTTGAGCGACGTATGTCTTTGTCGCGTGAAGTTGTGTTGCGCGACGTAGGGGTACCTACGTCGCGCCAATATTTTTTTTTTTTTTTTGGTTCTATCTTTTGGGGTTCTTGCATTGCCTTTTTCTTTTGTTGTATCCACTTGTGTAAATGTTTTAAATTGACGATCAAATTAATTCATTGTATTCATATAGGGTTAAGGAATGTAGCTGTAAAAAATCATCAAAATCGGAGTTAAAATAACCGTTAAATCGTGATTTTTCATTTATCGCCGTCGAAAAGGTTTGTCCCATTACTTGATATCTGAATATTTTTTTTTTGCAATTTTTAGCATATTCGATCTCGAAACATGTACAAACAAGTTTGACGGTTGGATCGTTGAAACTAATTTCGTACAATGCGTTTCCCATCAAAACAATAGATTCAATAACACTTAGAGTTTATTTATACTTTCATTAAGTATAATATAAAATTTTGTGGTATTCACTTTTGTAAATGTTTTAATTCGTTGATCGAATTAGTTCATAAGCAAAAGGGAAATACATATTTAAAAAAAAACAAAAAAAAAAGAAAAACAAAGGCTTTGCGCGACGTAGGTACCCTTGCGTCGCGCAAAACATCTTTGCGCGACGTAGGCCTACGTCGCGCAAAGCGTTTTTTTTTTTTTTTTGGGCCTTTTGCTTTTCTTTTGGGGTTATTACATTGTCTTTTTCTTTTGTTGTATCCACTTATGTAAATATTTTAAATTGACGATCGAATTAGTTCATTGTATTCATATAGGGTTAAGGAGTGTAGCTGTAAAAAATCATCAAAATCGGAGTTAAAATAACTGTTTTATAGTGATTTTTCGTTTATAACCGTCGAAAAGTTTTGTCTCGTTACTTGATCTCTGAATGTTTGTTTTTTACGCTTTTTGGCGTATGCGATCTTAAAGCATATACAAACAAGTTTGACGGTTGGATCGTTGAAACTAGTTTCGTACAATGTGTATCCCATCAAAACAATAGATTCACTAACACTTAAGAGTTTATTTATATTTTCATTAACTATAACATAAGATTTGTGGTATCCACTTGTGTAAATGTTTTAAATTGACGATCGAATTAGTTCATTGTATTCATATAGGATCAAGGAGTGTAGCTGTAAAAAATCATCAAAATCGGAGTTAAAATAACCGTTAAATCGTGATTTTTCGTTTATAACCATCGAAAAGTTTTGTCTCGTTACTTGATCTCTGAATGTTTGTTTTTTACGATTTTTGGCGTATGCGATCTTGAAGCATATACAAACAAGTTTGACGGTTGGATCGTTGAAACTAGTTTCGTACAATGTGTATCCCATCAAAACAATAGATTCACTAACACTTAGAGTTTATTTATATTTTCATTAACTATAACATAAGATTTGTGGTATCCACTTGTGTAAATGTTTTAAATTGACGATCGAATTAGTTCATTGTATTCATATAGGATCAAGGAGTGTAGCTGTAAAAAAATCATCAAAATCGGAGTTAAAACTACCGTTAAATCGTGATTTTTCGTTTATAACCGTCGAAAAGTTTTGTCCCGTTACTTGATCTTTGAATGTTTTTTTTTTTGTGATTTTTGGCGTATGCGATCTCGAAGCATATACAAACAAGTTTGACGGTTGGATCGTTGAAACTAGTTTTGTACAATGTGTATCTCATCAAAACAATAGATTCACTAACACTTAGAGTTTATTTATATTTTCATTAACTATAACATAAGATTTGTGGTATCCACTTGTGTAAATGTTTTAAATTGACGATCGAATTAGTTCATTGTATTCATATAGGATCAAGGAGTGTAGCTGTAAAAAAATCATCAAAATCGGAGTTAAAACTACCGTTAAATCGTGATTTTTCGTTTATAACCGTAAAAAAGTTTTGTCCCGTTACTTGATCTTTGAATGTTTTTTTTTTTGTGATTTTTGGCGTATGCGATCTCGAAGCATATACAAACAAGTTTGACGGTTGGATCGTTGAAACTAGTTTTGTACAATGTGTATCTCATCAAAACAATAGCATTCATTGGTTAAACAAAGTCTTTTTACATTAAGTTACATATTAAAAAAAAAAAAAAACACTTAAAAAAAAACATAAAAGTAAAAATATTTTACAATGATGTGTAAACTAATAGCATTCATTGGTCAGGTGGTGCTTCAGTAGTCGGCGGAGCTTCAGCAGTCGGCGGGGCCACAGAAGGAGGAGGCAACAGAGGTTGATCAGTTGGAGCTTCACTACGCGGTGCCGCTCCTGAAGACGAAGGCAGATGCTGTTGGAACAAACCCACAAACCTCCGATGATCAAGTAAAATTTGACCATCAGTGTCCTGCATCTGGTCAATTTTCCTCTTCATGTTGGTGGCATAGCTGTGTGCGAGCTTGTGCAACTCTTTATTCTCATGCTTGAGCCCTCTAATCTCTTGCTTGAGACTCATCACTTCAGCCGCCAACGATTCAACTTGACGGGTTCGGGGAAATAGGCGTTGGGCCATGTTGGACACGGAACCTGCACACTGCACACTGAGAGCCAGAGACTCCTTGACAGCCAATTCATCAGACCGCCTTGAAAGCAGTCTGTTATCTTTAGGAGTGACAAGGTTCCGGGCCACCACCGCAGCTGTCATATCATTCTTCATCACCGAAGCCCCAACGGTAAGGGGACCAGTAGGGGATATGAAAGATGGGCGCCATATGTTGTCTGGTGAAGGCGGAGCTGCCTCTTCACCAATGTTCAAGTCAAAACGACGATCGGAAGGGCCAGACATTTTCTGAAGGTGTTGAGAAAGAAGAGATCGGACAGATTCAGATTACAGGAGGGAGCTCAAGTGTGTTGTGGAAAAAAATTAACGCCTCTATAAAAAGAAGAAATCAAAGAGGCGCTCCTCAGAAATCGAAGAGGCGCTCCTCAAAAATCGAAGAGGCGTCCTCTCGCAAGTTGGGCTTGCTCACAAACCATCGATTCCAGATATCGAAGAGTGTCAGCTTTCTCAAAAGTTGGGCTTGCTCACAAACCACTGATTCCAGATATCGAAGAGTGTCAGCTTTCTCAGCCTCGTCAGCAACCGTCACACGCAAACTCAGCTTTGCGAAAATCACGGAAAATTTATCGAAGCATCGATCTCAGATAACAAAGATGCGCATGTCTCTCTCAGCCTCGTCAGCACTTGTCACATGCAGAGAAAGCTTTGCGGAAATCACGGGTAGTTTGTCGAAGCGCCGATTCCAACGGTTACCGATTCCAACATAATTACTTTCTTAAAAGCCGAAGCGTCACCGCTTTCGAAAACCGAAATTCCTATATATGTCGACCTCCCTCCTCCACGGACAGACAAACCTGCAAAAATGCTCAACAATTTCTCGCATTCGAGAAGGCACCCTTAACATAACCTCTCGAAATACTCAGCTTTATTTCCCCCCGATAAGACCTCAGCAAAGAGTATCTCATATCATCAGGGTCGAAAGCAAGAGTATCCCATATCATGCTTTCTCCCTGTCTTTGTCTTTGTCTTTGTCTTTCTCCCTATCTTTGTCTTTGCCTGGAACTTTTGCTCTCGAGTACTCATTCTCAACTGTTGTCAAGGTCACGAATTCCACCGGCAAATACCTCATGATAGTGGATCAGATATTGGCAAATACCTCAACAGCAAGAGTATCCCATATCATCAGGGTTGATCGTACTCTAGATTTGATGGACTTGTTTTGACCCTCAAATTCTTGAGTCAACTCACTAAGGCGTTGTGAACTACACGTGCCGATTCACCACTCTTGAATCAAATCCTTAAAGATCAAGCCACCAACGGTCCTTGAAGATATCACAAGCCCGATTCAAGATCAAGTGTTCACCACCCTGAATCAAATCCAGTTCAAGAATAAGCATGTGGAAAGTTATTTCTTCAAAAGCAAAAGTATTTCATATCATCTCTTCTCCATTTGCTTCTCCTTATCCTTGGTGCTATTTACGACACAAGGAGAAGGAGAACAATCAACATGAAGCCGAAGTCGAACCTCTGATCCAGTCAAACTTATTTGTATATGTTGAGAAACAGTCAAACTTCGTATAAATTAAATTCTTCCATTTTACTGTGGCACGTCATTTAGTAGATAAAATTATTAGGTCGAACATTATTGGATGTGAGATTTTAATTATTTTCTTACCAAGTAGTTAATCCCTCCCTAAAAGCAACTAAATTATATTATAACTTGTTCAAAGTAGTAACTTGTTAAAGTAGATAAAATTATCGAGGACATACTTATAGTCCACCCACTTTGACCAAGTAGTTAATCCCTAAAAGCAACTAAATTATATTATAACTTGTTCAAATTGAGGTTTTTAATTATAACTCGTCCACCCGTCTCTCTTTCCCCTCTTATTCTTTATTTTCTTTATTTTCTGTGTGCACTCCACTTCCTTCCCACTTATCTTCTTTTCTGCTGCCTTTGTTTAAATTTTCCCAATTTTTTTGGCGGTCCAATTGTAAATAATAGGCGCTTGTTTTTTTAATTTTCCCAATTTTTTTTATAGGACAAAACGTCGATTCTTTTGCTATATTCCACTCTGTGAACCTTAAAAGCATATTTCATATTTCATATTTCCGAAACTTGTATATATAATTTGTATATTTAAGAAAGAGCGCCCACATTTGCCTAGACTGCAGACTGCCCCGAAACGTGGAATTTTTTTTTTATTATGATCGGAACACAGGTGGTATACAACATAGTTTTATATAAGTAATGAGAAATTTTATTGTTTCAATTCTTAACTTTTTATAGTGACAAGTGGTGTATAATCCAAAGTTTCGGTCACATTGAATAATAATTATGCATAATTAAAGAAAAGGAATTGTTTAGAGTTTTTCTAGTTATATGAGCTCTAGTAGAGTAGGATGAGACCTGGTTTGGATATGGAATGAATAAGTAATTATTTAAGATATTCTTCTTTCAACTTATAATAATTATGTATAATTAAAGAAAAAGAAAGAAAACAAGAAATGATCTTAAAAGTTCCAGAATTAAACAACCGAACCTTAGGGTTATGATGGAGCTATTTTTTTATTTTTTCTGGGCTGCTCCACTAGTTCCACCAATCTGCAAACCAAAAACAAGCTGGCAACAATTGAATTAAACTTCTGCTGCCTTTCAAATTTCTTTAATTCTAAAGGAGGTACTTTTCTATGATATGCTCTGAAAGTGATACAGTGGCTCACTTGCTTGCCATCATTCTTAAAGCACGCCTAGTTAAATATGCTCTGAAAGTGATACAGTGGCTCACTTGATTTATGCTTTATTGACTGAACACTTGCTATATTCCACTCGGTCTCTCTCTTCCCTCTCGCCCATCTGTAAACAAATTTCCCTTTCCCCCTTTTTTCCTCCTAACAAATTTCTCAAAAATTTGGGCAGTTTTCTCCACATATTTTCACTAACTTTCTCAATTCGGTAAATCCGGTTTCTGGGAAGAATTGCTGGCGTTTTTGGGCAGTTTTCGTCTCAGGTAATGATCTCTGTGACCCTTAAAAGCATATTTCATATTTCCAGAACTGGGATTTCAATCCTTTGATCCGTATTGGAAGCTCATGCACTTTGAGCTTTAATACTTGATTCATGCACTTGTTTAGAATATGGGCATTAATATATAGTATTGATATTATTGCAATTATTGCTTTTTGAATAATCTTGATATAGTATTGATATTATTGCTTGTTGAATATGGGCATTAATATATGATTCATGCACTTGTTTTTTGAATAATCTTGTATTGATATTATTGCTCTAATTACTTATATTACTTTGGTTGCTAATTTATTAGTTTCAAATGCAAGAAGGGATTAGTTTCTAATGTTATATTTTTATGGTTCATAAAGTGTAGATGTCGCATTTGATCACTCGTCGTCGGAGTGTGTCCAATACGGCCCCTGCATTATCAGCATCTATTGCTCCAAGATTGAGTGCTCCATTGATTGGGGAGCCTACACCCCTCAGTGCACGGCGGTCTCACCGGCGCCGCCGCGAGCCGGAGCCTTATGATCACTCTTCCTCGTCCTCTAGAGTCGAGGGTGGGGACTCCCAACCAGGTAGTTTTTTCTAATTCTCACTACGTTGTATTTTTTTTTCATTTTAAAACTATTACTTTTATGATTGTGAAAATGTGTTGTGGGTTGTTAATTACTGTTTTAAGGTACTTTTATGATTAGGGGAGGTTTTGCCGAATTTTCTGTACAAATTTAAGCTTAGGGTTTTTACCATTTAAGTTTTTTTGGGCAGCTAAAAAAAACACCAGGGGGCCCAATCGAATGCTGAAGGAGGCACATGTTGTACGTTTGTCCGCCTCCTTGATCAAGATTGCGTATGACTCGCGACATCGTGGAGCGGCTACCTCACAGCAGCATAGCAGCGTCGTTAATAGCTGTGGTTTTGTTATTCGGTATTGTTGTCCTATGCAGTGGACGAGTTGGGCACAAATTCCTGAGGAGACGAAGGAACTGGTGCGAGACAAGTTGACGGTTAGTATATTAATTTTTAGCCTTTATCATTTTTTTTTTGTTTACAAATATTATTAAATTTATTTTATTGTTTTTCATATTTGAAGGTCAATTTTGATCTTAAGGACATATCCCCTGAGGTCAGTGCCTACTTAGAGGAGACCTTAGCAAACCGGTACAAAGATTGGAAGTGCGCTCTTCACAAGCATTTTCAGCTATGGGATGATCCGGAGATTTCTCGTCTACAGGGTTACCCAGCTGAGTTGAAGGACCGGCTGGAGAATTGGGAGTGGCTCTGCAAACATTTTACGGACCCAAAATTTGTAGTATGTACATAATACTTTAATAATAATTTACTGTTTGTTATTTTTTTAAGTTTTTTTTTAATAATTTATTTCAAATAGTTGCACTAACATTTATATTGTATGATTAACAGAAGAAATCTCTTGCTGGCAAGAAAGCTCGGGACTCAAAGACACTTCTCCACCATTTCGGTTCGAAGCCTTTTCCTATAGGCTTGAGGCACGACGTCAGGTAAAAGTATATTAATTTTTAAATTTTATACAATTTATTTTTTATTATTGATTAATAAAATTTTCTTTATGTTTTTTTCTTCAGGAGGGTTCTAAGTTCCCACAAATTGACTTGTTCAAGGACGTTTACGTTCGACCCGGCAAAGAGATCGCTGAGCAGCTTCTTGTAAGTATATGTAATTGTTATTATTCTTATTTTTATGAATTGTTCAAATATTATTTATATTTTGTTATTAAACATTATATGTTTTTTCTTTATTATTACAGGGCGATATGGTGGAAAAGAGCACTGCTATTCTCGAAGAAGCAACATCGCAGCTTCCACCAGAGACCCCGATCGAGGACGTCATTGTACCTGAGGATGCAGATCTTAAGATCGTGACTCAGGTCCTGGATCAGAAGTTGGGTCGTCGTCATGGCAAGGTTGTTCGATGTATGGGGAAGGCGGGGGTTCGTGAGACGGGTGCATCTTCTTCCAGATCGTCCACAGTAGAGGTCAATTCCCTGAAGGAGGAAGTGACAACCCTAAAAGGTCAGCTTGTGGCCCAGAACGAGAGGATGAATATGATTGTTCAGGCCTTAGCGATGTCCGGCCTCCAAATCCCGATGCCAGAACCTAATCTTGCTCCACCTTCGACTTCTTAGCCACTTCGCCCAGTCGATACTTAGTAGCATGATGTATTAAACCTAAAGACCTGTAGTTTTTCTTTTTTGTTCGGACATCTTGTATGTACATTTTCATATATTGTATAATTAAATACTTTTTCTTGGTTTATTAATTATTGTTTAGAATTTAATTACAATATTTATTAAAAATTAAATAAAAAATTTCTTTGCCCCAAATAAAAAAAAAAAACAATTGCACGACGTAGGTTTGCGTTGTGCAAAACCACTTCGCACGTCGTAAACCTTCGTCGCCCGAAGTGGTTTTGCGCGACGCAGACCTACGTCACGCTAAGTGGTTTTGCACGACGAAGACCTACGTCGCACTAAGCGGTTTTGCACGACGAAGACCTACGTCGCGCTAAGTGGTTTTGCGCGACGAAGACCTACGTCGCGCTAAGTGGTTTTGCGCGACGTAGGTCACTTCTGCGTCGCGCAAACCCTTCCTTCACTGCCTTGACGCGACGGTCGGTGCGCGACGCGGGTTCGTTGTCCTACGTTTTGCGCGACGTTTTTTTGACTTTGCGCGACGAAGGTCCTACGTCGCCCAAAGCCTTTTTTGTACTAGTTAGTCCTCATCACGTTGATATGTTGCATCACGAAATCCAGGAACGGGTGAGGATCGTCATGAAATATTCCAGTATCAAACAACTGTAGAAGAAGGGCAAGTTAAACAACTTGATTAGAAAACATTAAGGGTGCTAAATATCATTTACATTAAGGAAACGCATGGCCACACTAGAGTGATATTTCTAAATAAATAACTTATGAAACCATCAATGTGTAAACAACAAGATAAAGCATCTACTAATCAAGTTAAATCACCAATGCCATGCAGCATCACAACCTAGCAAAATTACATGTTTAATAGATACCATGTAATAATCAAGTTGGCATCAACTGCTTATATGTCTTTCATCACTGTAAACAACAAAAACTTTATAAATAGCAAAGCAACATGATTCTCACACTCTGGAAACAAGGCAGCATGATCATCTGGTCTTTATTACATGTCATACAAGAAAGTAGAGATATGACATATTGAGTTTTTTCTTTGTTATTTTCTACTTTACTACTTTTTTAATGTCATTATGTTACTAAGTTATCTTGTAAATGCAATTCAATATTTTCTGTGCCTGTGAAGTGTGCATTTTTGTAGCATTTATTGGGTTTGGAATCTGGATGGAGATTGCAATGGCAGAGTTTTCGGGATTAGCAACTGATATAACAATATATGCATTTACTTACCCTTTAGTTTAGATCTTGTTATGTTTTTGAGTGAATTTAGCTTGTTTCACTTAGTTTTATGTTTTTCTTAGGTTTGAAGAGTGAAGATGAAGAAAGTAGAAACAAAGTATTTTTTCGATTGAAATGAGTTTAGTATCCTGGAAGGAGGAACTGTTTGTGCAGATCTGCCAACTTTACAAAACTGTACTTATCCTCATAATGAACCAAGTGCTGAGCCTTATACCATTGGAAAGATATGGAAGTTATCATTTAGAAGAATTTTACGGTTCATCATTCCGAGTTTTTTAGAAGACATTATAGCAATTTTCGTACAGGGGAGAGACTTTGGAGACTAGGTTTTGCGTGATTGATAGTCTAAGGAGAAGAGAAGTCACTGCCGTCAACCATATTTCCATCCATCTTCGTCGTTGGGAAGCATTTCATGCTTTCAAGATTTTTAATTATGTTTTCGTATTCTATGAGTCACTAAACAATGGAACAAATACAAATTGCATAAAATAATATAAGATTATATGTAATTCATCATTGTTTATAATTTTTATCTGTGTAAACAAGGAGATATAGACATCTACTAATCAAGTTAATACTCAAATAGAAAAATCACCTGGCATGAATGATCCTCACATTGGTCTCCATGTCGGGCTAATACCAGTTGTAAGCTATTGATAGGATTTTTGCTACATGCAAAAGTAGCGATAAAAACACTTAAAATACTTGTAAGAGTACAAGGTAATCGTAGTATAGTCGGCTCTAGCAAGGTCGTTCACCACCGGAATTGAATGAATAATTTATACAAAACCAAATATTAATTAATTATTTGAAAACAAAATTTAGAAAAGGATGATTTTATGACCTAAAATATTAAAAACAAATTTAATTAAAAACAATTAAATAAATTAGGAAAGGAAAAAAACAAAAGAAAATAGTTTTGAAAATCAATTTGAGCACTAGGTTCCACCGTCATCTTAACAATCCTACATAGTTCTTCCAATTACTTATGGCTTACACATGCATATTATGAAGGTTAGGTTTTCCTAATATATGCCCTACTTGGAACCTCCAACATAGAACATATATCTAACATGCAACCCGTCTGTGGTATTCAGATCGAATGTGAACATGCAAGACTTATTAAGTTTTGTAAAAACTTTTTGAAAAACCATATAACCCTTAAGACGTATCGTGCATCCTAAGAAGTTACACATATAAACCACAAGAAGCCTAGTCAATTTCATGGATAGCCCTCCGCCAAAATTGCATCAAATTACTTTTCTAAATATCCTAATGGTGGTCAATCATCAAGACAATTCGATAGTTTAAACCAGTGATTAACAATTCAAACCTACATGCATAATATCACAAGCAAATTGAAAAGAAACTATATATTCTTGCCAAGGCTCGTGGCATCGCCCTAGCAAACGAAATTAGTTACGAACAATTATAAAACAAAATATTATTAAAACATAGATAGAAAACAACTTGAAAATAAATTTCAATTCTCCAAAGTAGTGTGTTCCCTAAAGTAATGCATTTCTCTCTCCTAATTGCTAAATAGCCTTATTTATACTACTACAAAATAAAACTCTACCTAGGAAAGGTCTTCTAAAAACTAGAAAACATAATAGAATAATATAACTAGGAAATAAAAGGTTTCATATTTAAACTGAAATTCGCACTGCAAGGAAAATCCATCTTTTGACCAACCATATTTAAACTAGTAGTACTGCTTAAACTATCAGCGCCATATGTACTATTTTCCTTATTGCTTATGTAGTCATCAGTATCTGTACTACTTTCTTCATTATAATTGTTTTATTTTCATCAATTCTAGGAAGAGACACAAGATCTATAGTTATGGAGTCGATCTCATCCTCAACTAGAGGAACGTTTTCCAAGTAGTACGGAGTAATTTCATCATTATGTTGTACCTGTGCCATATTGAGAATGTCTTATGAAGAGTTCTCTTGGTATGTCACATCATCATCACTACTATCACCCTCGGAGTCATCGTTTCGGAATATCCCACACATTTGTTCTTGTGTGGATCCAGTCATGTTTGTAACTTGATTCCACGAGCTTCCCATAGACGAGGCCAACTGTTGGAGCGAAATTTCCTACATGAAGAAATGCTTCCATGGATCCGTTAACTGTAATCCTCACGTTTGCCAAATCCCTCATAAAAGGCATCCATGAATGGTCTTTCTCTGAAGCTTCGCTTAGGTGGGGGGTACATGCAAGAGATACTCTAACGCTCAAGTCAATCAATTGAATTTATGTTCTCTAGTCAAGGGTTTTGATTGCGTACCTTATTCTTTTACTCATCTTCAAATGAGATGTCAAAACTACCACGTAGACATACAACTGTAAAAAATGGCAACAAACTCTCTCCAACCGAGCATTCAATTTCCTATATGGCACTAAGTCAATTGAAGGTAAAGTATTTTGCTATCAAATTTAACAGCATATATCAAATTTATTAAATAATTAATAAATGTTGTAGTGTTTTTCAAGTATTTGATTGGTTACCTCATTCATGGGAGCCAACAAAAATATAAAAAAAAATTATTAAATGGCATTGTTATTTAACATATCGAGTGGAGCAAAATATTGTACAAAATATCGGATTGCCACATAAGCCATCAAATATCATTGTGATGTTTAAAATTTGACATCTCATTTGAAGATGCTCTAAGTTATTAGAAAAGTTGTTAAGAGGGTTGTTAGCAGTTATTTAGTTGAAGAACATCTCCAAAAATCTCTAAGTTTTGTTAAACTAACAAGTAAACAATGCCAAAAAAAATTATTTTACTTCCTGTTTAACTTTTTATCTCCAATTACATTCCCTATTTTAATAAGTTTTGAATATTTTTTTATTAACAATTTAAATCCAACCTACTCATTTTCTAAAACAGTATTCTCTCTTTCTGTTTTCTCAGAGAAGGGTCCACCCTTGAGTTTTATTATTTTTTCAATATTTATGTGATGAACAGTTGCTTAGTAAATTTAAAGAGTGACTGTTTATTTTGTCATGTTAAAGACTCTTTTGTAGAGTTTGTTGGAAATTTTTATTTTTATTTTTAAGTTTGGCTTTTAATAAAAGGTTTTAGTTGTTTACAACATCTCTTGGGGACACTCTAAGCAGTGGCGGATCTATAAAGGGACCTGGGAGGTCCCAAGACCCCTCGGCAATCCTAAATTACTGCTAGAAATTTTTCGAGGACCCCTCATACTCGAACAGGAGGTCTGTGCAGGTTGCAGCAGCGTCTTCTTCTTGGCGAAAACGACCGTGCACGAGAAGAAGCAAAATAGGGACCCTTTTTAACACGTGGCCCAAAGCAACAGTGTTTGGACAATTGTTTTAATTTAAAAATATATATTAAAACAGTGAGCAAAACACTGTCGTTTGTTCATATTGTTAATCCCAAGGCACATCTTTCTCCGCAGTCCCACTCTTCCCCACTTATCTACTTCCCCCAATATCCCAGCTTTCACATATTCACCCAAATTCCAATCCCCAACTCCTTGATTTCAAAACCCTAAAATTCTAAACCCCACCCAATCCCATATTATAATTTTATTACTCCAATATCATACCTCCACTTGTTTCAAATCTCCACGCCACCACTATTTGGTTCAAAATTCAAGTAAGTGTTTTGGTATTCTAATGTAATCTCAATTAAATTATATTAGATATTGATGGAGATTTTTAGTCTATTGTTGATATGTTTTATGTTTGTATACTCATTTGATCATTGGAATATAGATGGAATTTTTGTTTATTGGTTTATTGGTATATGTTTTATGTTGTTTGTTAAATGTGTAGTTTAGAAATAAGAAATATGGAAAGAATTTTCAAGCCAAAACCAATAACACCATCTATTTGTTTGGGTAGTTCGAGCTCAAGACAAAATGAGTGTGACATTGATTTTAATAATCTTGAGAAAGACTCGGGAAAAAGAATTTGAATGAAGGACTATCCTCCTAATATTCAAGATGAGGTTCGAAGAGCATATTTGCCAGTGAGACCTTGTAGGCCTACAAAGCATGAGTTTCCATACACTTTGCATGCAAGAAAAAGCGACAATTTGTTGTTTCGTGGTTTGAAGAATATGATTGGTTGGAGTATAGTATATCTAAAGATGCACCGTTTTGTCTTCATTGCTCTCTTTAAATCAACTTTTCACAATTAGAAAGTGATGCCTTCACTAGGGTAGGCTTTAAGAAATGGAAGAATGCAATAGCAAACATGTTGGTCCTATTGGTAGTGTCCAAAATAAAGCTAGAGAAACGGCTAGTTATCTAATGAAGCAACAAATATTGAAGTAGTTGTGATCAAATAGTCAAAAGAATAGTGTATGAAATATCGTCTTTGCTTGAATGCATTAATAGATTGCACTAAGTTTTTGTTGTGACAAGGCCTTCCTTTTCGTGGCCACGATGAAAGTGAAACACTCGAATTTTATTTATAATTCAAATGGAGGTAAATTTTACATTTACATGATGTCTAATATAAAAATCCTACAAACTAATACACTCGAATTGTAACTTCAAAACTAATAACATAACAAAAACTTGTTGCCAGTTCTCCCAACTCAATTGACTAATACAAACTTGTTGCCACAACGCACAAAACCCATGATGCCAGTCCCCGAATCATTTCAAGCTATACAGCTGCAGTTGCATTGTTCAGTTTACTTCTGTGAAAGATCTGAGATCAATAAGGATCGTATTAGCATAAAAGTTAAAATGATTATATATACCTATGAGACTACAATAGGAAGATGCGTCACACTTCTAAATTAGTATTAGAAAGAAAAAAACAGTGAATGACATGATTTTTCCAAATTCACACCTGAGAGAAGAACGCATTACACATTTATAGCTGCAAAAGTTTAAATCTCTTTTCTTCAAGCATTGTAGAAAATCTCATCCATTGTTATCTAAGATAATGTATAGTTCTGCACCTGCAATGCTCAGTTACCTGTGCATGTAAAAACAGAACAATCTTACTCGGTATTAATCCTTCAAAAAGTGAGTTACCGGAGTTCCAGTTTTCACTTAAATTGCCAAGTATGTTTGATTAAGTGAGATTAAGATGAATGTTCAAAGCAAAACTACCAAACTTGCAGAGCATAAAACCTAAACCCGTGACATCTTGGATTACAAAACACAAACAAGGAAGCTACCTTTATCAAAAACCATGATCAGTATGCAAAGAACACAATCATAACAACAAATTACAAAGGTGGTTGTACTCTTACTAAACAACCCAATGGATATATTCACCTAAGCTAATGGCCTCTAACCAATAAAGGAATAGAAAAACACACTGGATGAAAAGTCTCGCTAGTTGGAAGAAATTACTTAAAATCAGTGCAAAGTCATAATAATCAAACTATGACATAAGCGTTCAACTATTTGGTATCTAACTTAGGCCTGGTTTGGTACTGAGGTGATTTTGAAAAAAACTGGTATCAGAAAAAGCTGGGAGCTTTTTTGTGTTTGGTAAACATTCAGCTTCAACTTTTTTTCACAATTTTGGGTGAAAAAGGCAAAAAACAAAAAGCTGCGAAACACAGGTTTGAAAAACCGGCTTTTTTTCATATCTGTTTTACATAAAAGTTTACCAAACATTATAATACTGCTTTTTTTTTTTTTCAAAAGCATTTTTACAAAAAAATTTACCAAACACTCTCCAGCTTTATTTCACAACCGCTTATTCTCACAGCACAGCAGAAGCAGTTTTTTTTCAAAGCATAACAATATCAAACCACATACACACACACATATATATATATATATATGTTATATGTTGCTTAAACGCAATTGAGATATCCCAAATTGCTTAAACACAATTGAGATATCCTCAAGGCTTAAACGCAACTGAGCAGCTGAATATATACATATATATGAGAAGGATATATATATTGCTTAAATCTTTCTTTATGGTTTCTTAAATCCTAGAGACCCATTTCCAATCTTTCTTCAAATACAGAGCACTTAAAGAATTATGATTCAAATTCACAGTAATTGAAATTCCCAAGCCTTTTCAACAAATGATATCAACAACAACTGAGAATCTTTTACCTTAAATTACCAAGAAAAACCAAAGAAGTCCAGAAATAAAATTCCATCCTGCAAGTTCATAACAAACAAAAAAGCATTAAAATAGAACGACCAAATAAAACAACTTATTAAAACCTATATATGTGCAACTAAATCATGTGAATAATCCCAAACGATTACTCATAGCAAAAAAGCCCAGGGACAAATACATATAAATCTTAAATACAGAAAACCAAAATTTACCGAATTAGAGGCCTCAGAGGATGGATGGGGAGCTGAAGGGCTGATAGCTTACTAATTCTGGAAGTAATTACTTGCAAATTCAAAACCATTGTCAAAAAGAATGATAAAATTGAATTGTTTAAACCTTGAATTTGAGTTGTTGATGAAAGGAGTATCTAGGGTTCTAGGTTTTTCAGTCGTGGAGCAAGAAATTGCGAGGAGGTGATAGGCGCAATAGAGAGCGGGCGCAGAGAGAGAGACGATTACGGTGTTTGGCGTGGATTGGCGTGTCGTCACGCTAAAGATATATATACAAGGATTGAGAGACGAGATCGGCGGGTTCAGGGTTTCTGGGTCACGGTGGTGCGAGAGCTGAGAGGAGAAGAAAGGGGAATGTGAATTGTAGTCTACAATTAAATATTAGTCTTAAATTTTTAATTATTTAAAGCCCCAAATTTGATAATTCATTGGGGCGCCACTACTTCCCGCTTTAGATTTGGGAAGGAATCTGAAAGGGTTATGTGACGCTTTCCACTGTTCTTCTCGGATTACCAGAACGCGGAATGAAATTTTTCGTCACCGAGTAGTTTCCAACTTTGGTACTTACCAGACGGTCATATCTGACGATTGTTAAAGCATCTCTAAATAAAATGTCAAATATAGTATCTTAAAATTTTATTTGATGGTTGATGTGGCAAATTGAATACAAATGCAAAATTCTTTTTTTTTTCAAGAGATGTGTCAAATATTTATTTTATTATTTTATTAAGCCTAGAGTTACATTAACTATTAAAAAATATTCAAAATTAGTTTTAGTTTTTATTTTATTGGTTGTTAATGGGATCCATGCATTAAAAGTTCAATTAAATATATTTGACTCATTCTTTGTTTGCTGTAAAAAAAAAATAGTTAGAAAGCAAGGACTCACATGCCACATCATATATGGCATATCCATTGGATAACACTTAAATGTCTTTTAATCTTATTTGATGTATTTGACATCTCTTTTGGAGATGGTCTTAACAACTCCTCACATATTTTGACAATATGTGACGAATTTTCACGTGTCACATAGAATTCCGTCACTTATTCTCTGTTTTCTTGTAGTGGTTTTGATAATGATTTTTCTTAATTGAAAAATTAATGATCTTGCTAAGAAAATGGTGGAGAAAAGGTTGCATCAAACATTTGCATATGTATATTTGCTTGTATAGTTGGCTTTGATTTTACTGGTTGCAACCGCTTCAGTGGAAAGGGCCTTTTCCGCTACGAATATCATTAAGGGGTCAACTTCGCAACAAAATGGGAGATCAATGGTTGAGTGACAACTTAGTTGTTTACATTGAGAAAGATGTTTTTTCATGTATGGGTAATGAAGCTATCATGAAACATTTTTAGACTTGGAAACCTCGTCGTGGACACTTTAATTAGGATTTTATAGTTTGTAATGTTGTTTTGCATATGATTTTTTAATGAAATGTATCATAATTTCTTTTTAATGTTATTTTTGTCTATAAATTTTTTTACCTTTATTATTGAGACCACCGAGTTTAAAATCATAGATTCGCTACTGGCTGTAAGCAAGTTAGTTTAGCTAACACTATGGAGCCAAAAATAATTCAAAAAAATACCAGAGCTAACACGTAGACTTCTATTCACAGTTGACAAGAATGTTGTCATCAATTGGCAAGGCCCACATTTCATTCCACCGACAGTTTAACCACAAAGTAGCCTAAGTTGTAGACTAATATTTCTCCAAACTCATTTTCACATAACAAGGAGATAATTTAAGAGAATTAAATCTAGAACTAATAATTAATTCCTACATTTAAGCTTTCCTAATTGAAAACATATTCCTTTATTCAAAGAAATACAATTAAATTCAATCAAGGTATTCTCCAAATATAATTCTTAATACTTATCATATATTTAATAATACCTGTAAGGACTTTTCTCTAACATCTTTAAGATATTTCAACATCTCAAAGATATTTTCCTACTGCATCTAAGGGATGACACACCTTGGTCAATTGGACGCGGAGATGTGGCGTGGGTTTTCCCACACACCATGGTCGGGCACTAGCTTCCATGAATACCCTATCACTAATTCATTCTTAGTAAATTGATCCTATGCAATTCAACTCAAAATCTCTCTCTCTCTCTCTCTCTCTCTCTCTCTCTCTCTCTCTCTCTCTCTCTCTCTCTCTCTCTCTCTCTCTCTCTCTCTCTCTCTCTCTCTAATTTCATCAAATCTAAGCGCGGCGGAATTTTACAAAAATAAATTGGTGCTTTCATTGAAAGCTTGATTTAAATCTAAAAAAAAGCTCTCGCAATATTTTTTTTCAAATTTCTACCTCTTTTAATTTTTCTAATGCACCCCATGTCCGAATTTTTTACTTCTTTGATTCACGTGCCATAGGAAAGAAAAACATGGTTGGAAATTCTTAACCACAACAAAAGGCCCTTCCTAAGTGCCTCGTCCTTGCTCTATCGCTGCTCGTGATAGAAAATGGAGGTTGGGCAGTTGCCTCCTCTTGTGAACCTTATCACGTCCCATCAAGCCAAAATCGCAGCAAGAATGGCAACGACAACACCAAAGTGCACATTAAATAAGGATAATTCGGAATTGGCGAAAAGGAGTTAGGCAAGAGTACTAGCAAAAGCTAGATGTGGTATTTCGGGTTTGGGATAATGAGTTTGAAAGAATGGTTATTGTGCATTCATACATATCATTTAGATAGGATGTCACGTCCCGATCCCAACATACGTCGAGAATCGACACATGACAAGGAAAATAACGTCCATTGAATACGGTATAAGTTACAGAATAAAATACTTTAACTGATAAACGAAAATAATATGAAGGTGGCTAAGTTCTCCACAAAATATTTACAAATATGTACATCCCAAAAAGAAGAATAATCTTTGCTCTACTAAGAACAAGTTTGAGGTGCTCAAAAGAAAATCCCAAAGATAAAGTACAAGATAGGATATAGGGGTAACCTAGCGCTCCAAATCTCTGATAACTCTACCACTACCCCACCTACGAACCTCTCGAAGTTACTCAAACTTGTTACATGTAAGATCAGTGCCTACACCATCGAAATGGTGCACCGGGCAAACAACAACTCGGATAAGCTACGAAGCTTGTGTGAGCGACAAATAATACAAAGTATATGATACTAATAATAAAACCAGTCATCATTCACAATTTATAAACCTTGAATATAAACCATTCATAAGAAATCTCTACCAAACCTTACAACCTCCAAAGGAGTCACACATACATTTAACAAGCTTTCTAAATCAAAACTCAGAGTTCTTAAAGCCACATTCACATATATACTTAAAACTAGAGTTAGAGAGACGTCATTCGATCGAAACCTACACAAGTAACCAAATAGGAAATGGCCCCCCAAAGCGGATCAACTAAGCAGAGCCACCCCTGATAAAGTAACCAAGTAGGTAGTGACCCCAATGCGGATTAACCAAACAGAGTCACCCCTGAGAAAATCACCAAGTAGGTAGTGACCCCTCAATACGGATTAACCAAGTAGAGTCACTCCTACAACTATTGGAAAGTGATCGCCCAATGCGGATTAACCAAGCATGATCACCTTTAAATATGTATGGTCATACCTAGGATATAAGGATCGCCCAACATGGATTAACCAAGCAAGATCCACAAATAGTATGGTCCCCTAATGCAGATTAACCAAGCAGGACCATTGCTACGAAGTGCAGACTTAGTGTCACCTAACCTCATGACACTAGGGTAATGGTCCTTTACAATCCATCATTTCTATCAAACCATCAAATATATATTCCAAAACACAATCCATCATTTTTATCAACCATCACATATATATCCCAAAACACAATCCATCATTTTTATCAACCATCACACATATCACACATATTACACATATATATTCCAAAACACAATCCATCATTTTTATCAACCATCACATATATATCCCAAAACACAATCCATTATTTTTATCAACCATCACATATACATTCCAAAACACAATCCATCACAGTTCAAATATCCAAATCACCTAATGTTTCATAAGTAGATCGACGACAACTTAATAGCAACAATTATTTAGCATCAGAACTATTTTAAGAATCCATAGTGTAACCACAAAGTTTATTAGCACAAAAGATTTCAAAGCAATAACCATAACACATAGATTAGAATCACTCACATGAGATCCACACTAACGCACTCAAACACAAGAGTCAAGGCATCACGTTCTATCACCACCTAACAAGGTACAAACCACATTTAGATTTCCTTCGACAATTCACATACTTAAAACTCTCATATATTTCCCACAACAACATTTAATGAGGAATCGAACTGTCATTCTAAAGTAAGGTCCATGATCTTACGTCACTTATTCCGTAATATCCAATCACTAATTTTCACTTGTAAGTCTCTAAGGTCCTTAAACATTATCTATCATAGCATACTAAAATTGGTGTCAATTCAATGGTAAGATCATCAATCGCTAGAATAATCAAGTGGCGGAGCTTATCGATAAAATACTCAACCAACAACATTTTTATAAATCGAATGTCACACTTGAAAATTTGACTTTCTCCAAAAATTCTCAAATTTTACAGGAATAAAGATTTCAACAAGTAGAGTAAACTTTATACCTGTGGCTGAGTCCAATTTGGCCAGAAAGGCCCTCAAATTGTCTTGCACCCAACGAAACCCTAAGATGGGTGTCCTTAAATTCGGCTTCCTTGGTGTTCCAACGCCCCAACCACCAGTTGGGTCCTGTTTCTGGGTTCAAGGGAAGTTGATTAAGGGTGATGGTTAATGGTGATACTCTCTGGAACGACAATTCATCGTCGAGAACCCCCTGGGTTCTCCTATGGAGTTCTACCTGAATTTGGCCTTAAAACCCTTGATTTTTGGTGGAGATGGAAGATGGAAGGTTGTGGAAGATGTGGCAGGTGTGGGATGGTTGAAGATTACCCGAAAATATGGTGGAAGATGGCTGTTTGGACCAGCTGAAGATATGGTGTTGTGGTGCACAATAGCCGAATGGAAGAAAAGAAAATCCCCCTTCTTCTTTTCTTTTTTCTTCTCCTCCTTTTTCCTTTCTAATTTTTTTGCCCAATTCCCTTATAATAGCCGGCCCTTTAATCCCAAAAGTGTTTGGCCTTTTACCCCCAAGTGAAATTTAAAATAATTCCCACAATCTATAGTTTCACAACTTCAAACGTCAGCAACTATACAGTTATAATTCGGACTCGCAAACGGCTTTCGCCTATGCGTTCGTGGGTTCGAGATCTATTTAAAAATACTAGTTGCAACTTCGAAATGTCAACGAAAAATAAAGCTTGCTTATGAAACTTCCAACTCGATAACTAATCAATTACTAACTTAAAATTAACGGAATTAAAATTAACTAATAAAGATAATGTAAGCGTGAAATATGAATTTAAAATACAAGATACGTAATAAATAGTGAAATTCGTGTAGTCTTGTAAAAGTTTATTTGATTTTACCTTGCACTTTCGGATTAGGGATTCTCTACCAACCTCAGGTTTGGAATGCGACAACTTTGCTCTCTAGAGTCTCTACTAATCCACCATCGATTTGGTTTCTAAACGGAGACCACTTTAGTGGTCGTTCTAGAGAAACAAGTGACGATGGTTGCTTTTTCTTGATAGGGATTAGGGGTTTTAGCTGTTATTTTTTAATTATCGAGTAATTGTCTATATTGAACCGGGTTTCCCTTTGTTTATCTTGGGCTGCTACTACTGTTGTTTTTGTGGCCTGTTTATTTTATGAAATTTCTTTGATGCACTATGTGCACTAGAAAAAACCTCATTTATTTATTTTACGTTTAATTCCTCAGTCTTGGATCTGTGATATTTAGATGGGATTAATATATATGAGTTGGGAACTTAGCTATATACTAGAAAGAGCACTATCAAGTCTATCAATCATCACTACAGTTTAGTGGTATTCTTATTATTATGGCTAGCTCATTATAGAGCTTATCTCAATCCCCCACCTCATACTGTAGATAACATCCGACCTTGGCCCAATACCGGCAAAGCGATCGTTCGGGACCTCAAAAAATTGGGGGCATAAAAAAATTATTAGGGTAATGTATTTAATTATGTTTTCATAAGCGTATAAATTGAAACACGTTTGATTGAGTGAACAAGAAGTACATCTAGAGGCGCTGGTTTCATTGTGTATTGAAAGAAAAAGGTCTTGAGTCTCTGCGCGCCTTGTTCTTTTCAAATTTTTACTATTTTTGTTTAATTGTTAAATTCTTTTTACCTTTGATTTTGGGAAGTGTTATTGGCACTCCAAAAATCTCATTCTACATACCCATAAGTGTATTTTTCTTTCCTAATATAGAAAGTTTGGAGTGTAGAATGTGATTTTTGGAATGCTAATAACAATTCCCTTGATTTTTTACTATTTTTTTATTGTTGATTTCTTCTTTGCAATTTTTTACTAATTTTTGTTAATTGTTAAATTCTGTTTACCTTTGATTTTTTACTAATTTTTTATTGTTAATTTCTTATAACCTTTTATTATAATTACTAGCTATGAGTGGGTTGCAGGTTTTTGACATTCATTTCAATTCAAGTTTAATCTTCAACAAATTAATGTATTTATGTCTTCACCAATTTAATTTGGCAAGAGTGAACATTATTAAAAAAATGATATCACTTTCAGGCCGCTGAAAAATTTGGAACTTTCTTTTCTACAAAATCTACAAGGACTTTGCTTAGAAAATTGCTTTGTCAAAGTCTCGTTCTTAGACACTTTAAACATCAAGTGTTGCTCAATTGACATTAGGATTTCTCCTGATAGCTCCTAAGTGATTTAGAACTTGAAACACCACAAATAACAGAGCAAGGGAAGAAGACGAAGATGCAACAGAAAAAAAAAAAAAAAAAAAAAAAAGAGAAAACTGTAGATACTTATCTATTAGATGCTTGTTTATGTTTCACTGCTGTGTGTTTGCCTGCTTGAATTGCTGGTTTGCTTTTTCTTTTTTTTAGAAGGAAGAGAAAGAGTTACTCATCTATATTGCAGACACATAAAATAATCTTTGTTTACTTATTCTCTTATTCCTTATACTTTAATATTAAGAATGAAGAAAGTAATTTTATTTATACCTTAATTTTAGAAGCGCATAAGAAAATAGTCATTCACACGAACTAACAGAGAGACTAGTACTTTTCTACTATATGACAATCTTCTTTTCCTTATGACCAATTGACCAAATATTACGATGTAACTTTGTTTTTTTATGTATGATGAACTTATTGTTCGACAAAGAAAAATACCTATTCAAATTATTGAAAATCCTTTAGGTACCTAGTTGAAAAGAAGGAAAAAAAATCACATAAAAAATGTAAACTTTCTTATGCGTGGTTGTAGGTTTGTGGGCCTCTTTTTTATTTTTGCCCAAAGCCTCTAAAATATTTGGACCAGCCCCTGATAACATCGTATGTATTAAAAAAAAAAAATCTCAATCCTTAGTTTTAAGGTCTTCTCGTACTTTTACTAATTTTTAAAGTATCGAATTTGGTTTTTTTTTTTTTTTTGAAAGTGTAAGAAAAGGAAATAAGAGTTTATTAGATGCAGGCTACCTGAGTAAAACAAGGGGTTCAATTGAACCACACCATGCGAAAAAACCTCAGTAATTAACCTCACTCCATTACATATAAATATACATGTATGTGTGTGTGTGTGTACTCACTCGCAAGCATAACACCAAAACAGTGTTAGGTGATGGTCGCCCTGCTGGCATGGTGATCGCAACTCTCTCGTGGGCAACATTCTATGAGCACATTTTCAAGTTGCACCATGCGTTAGGTGATGGCAACTCTCTCGTGGGCACCTTTTTCTCCTGTCTACAAAGGGCTATCAATCCTTTTCTTTCCCTAACTTTTCCTTCACGACTGATGGCGGAGCCTGAGGTTGATAATGTATGAGAAGGTTAAGTTAGAGGATACTTGTATTAACCTCACTCCATTACATATAAATATACATGTATGTGTGTGTTTGTGTGTACTCACTCGCAAGCATAACACCAAAACAGTGTTAGGTGATGGTCGCCCTGCTGGCATGGTGATCGCAACTCTCTCGTGGGCAACATTCTATGAGCACATTTTCAAGTTGCACTATGCGTTAGGTGATGGCAACTCTCTCGTGGGCACCTTTTTCTCCTGTCTACAAAGGGCTATCAATCCTTTTCTTTCCCTAACTTTTCCTGCACGACTGATGGCGGAGGCTGAGGTTGATAATGTATGACAAGGTTAAGTTAGAGGATACTTGTGAAAATATTATATAGGAGAGCCTGGGGGTAAATTTAAGAGCTCGTTTAGCTTTTGTCATTCTAGAAGCATGATAAAAAGTACAATTGGAGATGAATTTTTCAACTTCTTTCTAAAGTTTAGTTAAAAGTACATACAAGGAGCCCATTAAAGATGTTCTAAATATTGTCAGGAAAGTTTTTACAAACTATATTTGTAGAGAAATGCTAAGGAAACTCTCCTAAAAGTGGAACTCTTCATGAATTTTTTGCCGCCTCATATTTTTTGTTCAATATTTTATAGAGTAATGTTATGAAGACTAAATTTGGAAACTAAATGATGTGCCACCAATATGAATAAGCACGTTTATCAACGTTTAAGTAATAAACCACTCATTAACTTTCATGTCATTTAGTTTTCAAAACTTTGTCTTTAAATTTAGTCTTCCTAACATTACCGTATTTTATAATGTTGACACAAAAAATAACATAAAATTATGAGATGACAGATAGTCTATAAAAAGTTTTACTTTAAAAGTCCCACTTTGATGTAAAATTGACGTAAACCTGTATTAGTTATGCAGCTCCCCTTTTTGTTGAAGAACGTTATACAGCTCCCCTTAAATGCAAAGTTTCAACGGTATTAATTAACACCGACAAGGAAACTAATTATATATGGGACCTGTTATAAAGAAGAAAATTTACTGTTCAACGGTATTAACATTGACAAGATAAAACGCATGGTTTTCTGGGGCCAAGTTCTGCTGTCTTCTGATTGCATTTAGAGCTGATTTGGTATTACTGTATTTTGAAAAAAAACTGCTGTGAGAATAAGTGGCTGTGCTGTGAGAATAAGCGGCTGTAAAATAAATTAGCAGAGTGTTTGGTAAACTTTTTTGTAAAAGTGCTTTTGAAAAAAAAAAAAGCAGTCTGATAGTGGATCTTTTCATTAAAAGAGCACTGTAGCTCTGTGTACTTTGAAAAAAGCCAGTTTTCCAAAGCTGCAAATAGTAGCTTCAGCTTTTTCCTTTAATTTCAGCTTATTCTCACAGCAACTTCCAAAATAAGCCATTTTTTTTCAATTTACCAAACACCTAAAACCCTCACAGCTTTTTTTCATGGGTGTTTTTTTTTAAGCACCTCACTCCCAAATCACCCCTTAGTTTTGTGTCTCTATGAATTAACATTGACAACACAAAACGCTCGTTTTTTTGGGGCCAAGGTTTGTTGCCTTCTGATTGCATTTATTTTTAAGAACTTTAACGAAAAACTTACAGTATTATTCATTTTAACGAAAAATCACATTTTTACTTTAAAAAGTTAATCATTGTACTATTCATTGACAACATATTTTTGTCATTTTCGTTAAAAGTTATAGTTTTCAAACTCTTTTTATTAGTTTTTCTTTTATTTTTGTCTCTTTACGAATTTTTTGACATTTGACCCTCCACTCGTTCTAAAATTAACACTGCTAACTATTATATATTACTAATTATAAAAATTAAAGAAAAATAAAAACAACACAGTCAAATAAACACCAGACAACAACCTATTCCAACCACGCCCAGTCACTGCCGAAGCTCATCCTCACCGCCAGCAAAGTTCCTTTTCTTTCTCTATCTCTCTCCTCGAGATCTTTCTCTCTTGAATTCTCGCACTAGATCGTGATCCATTCATCCATCCAGTCAAACAACAAATGTTTTGTGGAGTTCGAAATTTGAGAATGGAAGATATAGTGAAGAATTCGATAGAGAAAGATCTCGAGAAGAGAGATAGAGAAGGAACTTTACGGTCGGTGAGGATGAGCTTCAGCGGTGACTGGTGTGGTTGGAATCTTTCCTAAGCAGCAACAACGAATGCAAATACGCCCAGATCTTGTTGTTCCATTTTGTGAAACAGTATTAGTGAAATGTTTTGCTGAAACTGACACGGCCCAATCTCGATATTCCTCGACTACCAGGATAGGCACATGCTGGCTGACACCCAAGGGTGACGAAAGCCATTTTGAATGCAAATGCTGAGAATAGGAATTAGATAAGACTTAGAAATATAAAAGAATAATGAATATGCATTTAAGGAACGTGTTCAGAGCATACAACTAACTAGAACACTAAAAGAAATAATATAAAAATTAGTTGAACAAAGGAGTGGGTTCTACACCAAGAGGACTTAAAGATGCCGATGCGGAAATGCCTGGATGCTGGGATTGTATGCCTCGATTCTATGTTCTAAAGGGGGCGCAAAACAAACATGAGTGGACCAAGTTGATATATATATAATAAAATAGTTATCAACATACTAACCTCCAAGTTTATATAAAGAAAATTACTAGCATAATAAGTGATAGGTTTACTGAAAACCCTAGCATGCCAAAAACATCTCAAAAGACATATCACGGAAAACAAAATATCAATCGTTTCACAGATCGTCTCGTAAACGCGGTGTGCTGCCAGTAAGATCATTGAATAAATATAACTCCTAGCCCTATGCCAGCATCGTGGTCTCTGCGCCCGTAGCTAGAGATTACCAACTCCTGGCCCAATGCCTGCTCCATGTCCCTCAGCTCGTAGCTAGGGAATATTTCTATTGGCCTATCTACCAACACTAGATCCTCGTCCCAGGTGGCATAGTGTCCACTAGGTACGCATAAATAGTTACGCCTCTCATAAATAATCATTTCATAGTATAAAGTCATTCATCGTTTATACTATAAAGAGGGGTTTCTAAAACATGTTGTAGCATCCTATTGTCATCCATCAGATAGTCTACCAGTTCATGGTTTTTATAGAAAATACGATATATGAAACTATAGCTCAATATAAGCTAATAATTAATTTCTCACCAAAAACGAGACGATAAACAACATATTCCATAAAACATACTTAACATAAAATCAGTTCATAAACTCGTAAGACATGTTATTCATTTATGCAATTAAACTATGAAATCATGCAAATTTTAGAAAGGGTCCACTCACAGATACTCTGTAGCAGCAGAGTTATGCGGAAAATGATTAAGGAAATCCCCGCAAGCAACTTCACCTAAGCACAAAAATGTACAATTTATCAAACTACCTAGCTATAGAATTTCAAGAAATGGAAATGGGTCTTGGGTTTGGATCCGGATTATGGTTTAGGTTTAGGTTAAATAGGATTAGGACCTATTGGGTTTTGGGTTTAGATAGTTTAGGAACAAATGGGTGGTTTGGGCTTGAGCCCAAACCCACACAACACACACACACACACACACACACACACACACACACACACACACACACACACACACACAGAGCACAACACACACATACACACGTGTACCATACACACTCACACGCACTCACCGTACACGCACACACCCACATGGACACACACACACACCACACCCAAACACTCAGCCCATATACACTCGGCCCGTAGGCTTAATAGCCAAAGGGAAAACTGGGATTAACCCACTTGAATAAAACCGGTCCGAGGCCCATTTGGGCTTTTAAAACAATTAGCTGAAAATTAAAAGGAAATAGGTTGGGTTTTAAGGTTCTAGGCTGGTCCAAATACGGGTTAAAGCCCGCAGGTGTTCTGAAATGGCCTGATGGCCTGCGGGGTGTCGGGGAAGAACACCGGAGTTGCTATAGTTTCGGCCGATGGCAACATATAAACCAAGCTCCCAAAATGCAGAGAAAAACACAGTTGAAGTGATAGGCACGAGAATATACCACTGTGAGTCTCGACTGTGGTCGAGAATGGTTGGGTTGGTCACGGAACTTGTCAAGTTTTCTCGCCGGGTTCTGGAAAACAATAATAGAGTGCATGCACAAATTATTACAGGGGTTTTAGACCTTAGATTTCAAGTCGATTTGAACATGCAAGGCTTGAGGATGATACCTGAAACATTATAGGGAAATCTCGAGCCAAAACAGAGACTGGAAGGCTGAGCTCTTCCTTAGATTCAGTAAGAACTATGAAACTCTTTGTTCAGCACCACCATTTGATTTCCTAAGCCACATATATGCTCAATTTGAGGGTTTGGAGGTACGATTTAAACGGAGGTTGAGGATGGTGGTGGTCTGTGGCTTTCGGTGCAGAGAAGAGAGGTGAGGGAGAGAAGGCGAGTGAGAAAGTGAGTCACGGGGAGGGGGCAGAGAGAGATGAGGTTTGTTAAGGTGCTACCACGTGGCAGTTTGAGGGAGTTTATGAATCTAAATAAAGGGTTCAGATTTAGTCAAGCTAGGGGACCAAAATGATAAATTCAATAAAACTTTGGGAAATTATAAAATTACATATAAATTCGGGGGTAGGATTTAACAGAAACACCCAATAAGAGGAACAAAATAACTATGATCGCAGGGCTACTGCTAGAAAGAGGACTTGCAGAGGACATTGAGAATAGTGCTATACACATTAATTGTTTCGGAGGATGCAGGTGAATTTGAACCGTTCCTAAGCAACAACAACGAATGCAAATACGACTTCGCTGACGAGCTTTGTTTTCATCTAATTAAAAGTAAATCTCGGCAATGATTTGTTCATATTCAGACCTTGATTTTCATCTTATTATTCCATTATGTCTCTTCTCGACAGTTTTTGGTTGCTGCGATTTAGCCTTACACATTTGTGGCTTCTGAGTTTTTTTATCCGAGTCTGCGATTCAGTTTTCTTTGTTCTTTGTTGTTCAGCCGGTGCCACTTTTAGGATTATTAGTTGTATTTTTTGCACTTGAAAATAAGAGGTTTTAAGTTTGATTCTCGCCAAAGATGAATTTAAACCACATTATTGCTAGTATATTGTGAGGCTAAATCCACTCTCTTCCCCCTTAAGAAAAAAACTTGTGTGGGACTTAACTTGTCATTGAATTATGTTGAGTCACATTACAATCTATTCAAGACTTGTCGTTTGTTTGATTAAAAGTTTTAGAATGTTAACGTTAAAACCTAAAATGATTATTCAGAACTAAAACTAAAAATAGAAAAATAAAAACACATA